CCCAATTCTAAATTCATTTTTCTGTCCACTAAGTTATGTTGCCTTTCATATGATTTTACTTGTATATGGAAAACAGGAAAGCCCAGAGAGAGGAGTCCTTTTTAATTCATTGTAATCCTTATGGATGGGCAACAAAGCCACAATGTCCTGACTCCCACTTCAGATCTCACGTCCACAGCATCCTCATATTGCTTTTACAGCAAGTGGCCAGTTCAACCTGGATTTACCAGAACTAATCCAGGTATCTGGGAGCAAACTTAGTGATTCGGAAGGAAGGAAGGAAGGAAGGAAGGAAGGAAGGAAGGAAGGAAGGAGGGAAGGAGGGAAGGAAGGAAGGAAAGAAGGAAGGAAGGAAGGAAGGGAGAAGGGAAAGAGGGAGTGAGGGAGGGAGGAAGAAAGGAAGAAAGAAAAGAAGGAAGGAAAGAAGGAAGGAGGGAAGGAAGGAAGGAGGGAAGGAAGGAAGGAGGGAAGGAAGGAAAGAAGGAAGGAAGGAAGGAAGGAAAGAAGGAGGGAAGGAAGGAGGGAAGGAAGGAAGGAAGGAAGGAAAGAAGGAAGGAAGGAAGGAAGAAAGGGAGAAGGGAAAGAGGGAGTGAGGGAGGGAGGAAGAAAGGAAGAAAGAAAGGAAGGAAGGAAAGAAGGAAGGAAGGAAGAAGGGAGGGAGAGAAGAAGGAAGGGAAGGAAGGGAGGAAGGGGAAGGGAAAGAGGGAGGGGGAGGAAGGAAAAAGGGAAGGAAGGGGGGAAGGGAGGAAGGGGGGAAGGGAAAGAGGGAGGAAGGGAGGGAAGTAGAAAGAATTAAGTCCCTACTGTGTGCCAGGCACTGTGCTAAGCACTTTACAAATATTATCGCATTTGATCCTCACAAAGGATCTCATCCACCTAAGAGAATAAAGTTTATTGAAGACGGCTATAGTAAATTAAGAGAATAAGAATCAATGATACAACCAGAGACATAGCACAAAGAATAAATGATGCCAACAGAGATATTAGTCCCATTTTATAGCTGAGGAAACTGAGGCAAAGTTTAAGTGACTTGCCCAGGATCACAGAGCTAGTAAGTATCTAAGGTCAGATTTGAACTTGTCTTCCTGAGTGAAAAAAGAGGGAGCAAAAGCTCAGCCACCACCATCAGGCATGGTGCTATTGCATTAGGATTGGGGGCAGGGGAGGAGAGAGGCAGTGCTTGCTCTTCTGTGTACCAGAGAGGCACATGTCATCTGGTTGCATCATTTATTCTTACTGTCTCAAATAACCATAGTCATCTTGAATAACTCAATCTGTGTTGTTTTAGGTGGATAAGATCTTTCCTCTAACCCCAGTTTGGAAGCATCAGCAAACCTAGTGCCCACTTCTGTGCCTTTGCATAACCTGTTAACTCGCCCCACCATTCCCGAAATGTCACCATCCATCCCTCATTTCAGTCCCTTAGAATCTAAATTCAGCTACTTCAAATTCCAGTTCAGGTGCTATCCCTTAAGGGATGCCTTTCCTGGTCTCTCTCCTCCCTCTCCTTGGTGTCGAGCTCTTTTTCTCCTCTAATAATTATCCATATACTTATCTGTTTACACGTTTTATCCCCCCAGTACAATGTACATTTCTGAGGGCAGGGTTTGGGGGGTTTTGTTTGTTTTTGGTCTTTGTATCCTTAGCACCTAGCACAGTGCCTTGCACATAGTAGGTGTTTAATAAATGCATCCTATGTTGGACTAGACTAGATAGGATTGGACTAGATCATGTCCACTATTCTATCCAAAGCCTTGCTCAAATCCATAGACTAAAATATTGCGTCTTCATGCTAACCACTTTCTAACAGAAAAGTGATGGACTTGGGGTGCAAAATGAGACATGCATTCTTGGACATGGCCAATGAAAGAATTTGTTTTGCTTGACTATATGTATTTATTACAAAAGTTTTCTTTTTCTTTTCTTTTTGAATTTTTTAAAAAATTATTTATTTTTAACATTAATTTTCTTTAAAATTCTAGTACTAGTTTCTCTCCCTCCCTCTAGTACCTCCCCCTCCCATTGAGAGGGCAATCAATATGATTTCAATTATACATGTGAAATCATGCAAAACATTTCCATATTAGCCATGTCGTCAAAAAAACCCAATAAAAATAAAGTGAAAAAATATACTTCGATTTGCACTTAGAGTTCATCCGTTCCCTCTCTGGAAGTGGATAGCATTTTTTTTCATCATGAATCTTTTGAAATTGTCACATACCATCGTATTGATCAGAATATCCAAATTTTTCACAGTGGATCATTGTTACAATATTGCTATTACTGTATACAATGATCTCCTGGTTCTCCTCACTTTACTCCACATCAATTCACATAGATTTTCCCAAGTTTTTCTGAAACTATCCTCTTCATCATTTCTTATAGCACCATAGTATTCCAACACAATCATCTACCATAACTTATTCAGCCATTCCCTAATTGATGGGCATTCCTTCCATTTACAATTCTTTGCCAACACAAAAAGAGCTGCTATAAATATTTTTTTGTAAATATAAGTCCTTTTCCTTTTCCTTTTATCTCTTTGAGGTACAGACCTAGTAGTGGTATTGCTGTTTGGTTCAAAGGGTATCCACAGTTTTATGGCACTTTGGCCATAGCTTCAAATTGTTCTCCAGTATGGTTGGATGATTTCACAACTCCACCAACAGTGTATTAGTGTCCCTATTTTTTCCACATCCACTCCAACACTTGTCATTTTCCTTTTCTGTCATGTTAGCCAATCTGTTAGGTGTGAGGTAAAACCTCAGAGTTGTTTTTATTTGCATTTGTCTAATTAATAGTGATTTAGAGCATTTTTTCACATGACTATACATAGCTTTGATGTCTGCTTCTGAAAACTGTCTGTACATATCCTTTGAACATTTATCAACTGAAGAATGGCTCTTATCTTTGTAAGTCTGAGTCAGTTCCCTATGCTTTTGAAAAATAAGGCCTTCATCAGAGAAACTTGTAAAAGTTTCCCCAGTTTTCTGTTTTCCATTTAATTTGGACTCCACTGGTTTTGCTTGTGGAAAAACTTTGTAATTTCATGTAATCAAAATTATCCATTTTACTTCCTGTGATCCTCTCTATCTCTTGGTTTGATCACAGACTCTTTCCTTATCCATAGATCTGACAGGTAAATTTTTGTTTAGCTCTGTCTTTGCATGAAAAGTGTTTTGTAATTGTGTTCACATAGTTCCTGGGTTTATCCTGGAAGTAGACTTCTAAGTATATTATATTTTCTGCAATTATTTTCTCTTTCTATCTCTTCCTGCTGGATTTTGTTGGTAATATATAGAAATACTGATCATTTATGTGGGTTTACTTTCTATCTTACAATGTTGCTAAAGTTAATTGTTTCAATTAGTTTTTTAGTTGATTCTTTAAGGTTCTCTAAGTATACCATCATATCATCTGCAAAAAAGTGATAGTTTTATTTCCCCATTTCCTGTTTTTATTCCTTCAATTTCTTTTTCTTGTCTTTTTGTTATAACTAACATTTCTAGTACAATTTTGAATAATAGTGGTGATAATGGACATCCTTGCTTCACCCCTGATCTTATTGGGAAGGCTTCTAGCTTATCTCCATTACAGATAATGCATGCTAATGATTTCAGATAGATACTACTTACCATTTTCAAGAAAGCTCCATTTATTTCTATGCTTTCTTGCATTTTTTAAAAATAGGAATGAGTGTTGTAATTTGTCAAAAGCTTTTGCCACATGTATTGAAATAACCATATGATTTTTGTTGTTTTGTTATTAATATGGTCAATTATGCTGATAGTTTTCCTAATATTGAACCAGATCTGCATTCCTGGTATAAATCCCACCTAGTCATATGTACGATCTTTAATTGTTTATTGTTAACTCTTTCAACTAGTTTTTAACTTGATTCTCTAGGGTTCTCTAAGCATACCTTCATATCATCTGCAAAGAGTGATAGTTTTGTTTCGTCATTGCCTATTCTTACTCCTTCCATTTCTTTTTCTTATCTTATTGCTATAGCTAGCATTTCTAGTATTTTCTTTTTTAAAAAAATTTCAATGGGGAAGTAGGAAAGAGAGAAATGTTTCCATTTTTAATTGAAAAAAATTTTTGAATTCCTTCTCATTCTACAATGAGAGGTGGGGACTTTCACAGGTGAATATGAGATAACTTTTATGGGGCTTTTTATAGGTTTATTGTTGTTGTTATGTTATGACTTGGAAGTAAATTGGATTTAAGTGAGGGAGGGCTGTGCAAAGTTACCAGCCTCACTTTCTCCTCTGGAGACATCTGGGTCCAATAGCAAGATATAGATCAGAATGACTAGAGATGGCCCCAGGTTCTTTGTAGAACCATGCTGAATATCTCCCTATACCCTGATATATTCAAGGGATTCATATATTAACTTTATCCCAAGTTAAACTTCTGTACGAGTTAAGTTAGAAGTTAAACTTCTGTACAAATAGGCCCTGTCTCCTCTTTTCAATTGGTATTTTGCCACAATATAGCCTCTTTTTTCTCCAGGGTGGATAGGATCTTTACCCTCACCCACGTTTAGTAGTATCAGCACATTTAATGAAGCCCTTTGTGACTTTGCACATACTGTTTCCCCATGCATGAAACATCATCTGTCTTCATCTCTGCCTCTTGGAATCCCCAATTTCCCCCCACCCCACCCCTAGTAATCTGGTTCATTATCTACTAGAAGTTTAAATGAGAATCTCAATAACTTATTGAACCTCTGACCATTTTATCTCTCCTTCTATGTTCCCTGCTGGTTATTCATAGCCTTAAGGTCATTAGTCCAAGATCACTGTCATTTAGGCCTGGAAGGCCTGGTTCCATTTCGAGTTACCTAGGAATCCACATACCTGGACAAACTGGAAGCTGAACAGGGGAGTCATGGGACGGGGGATTAAAAAGGTCTTGCCACCCAATTTCCACCCATCCTTCCCTTCTCCCTCTACTATTAACCCACCCCCTGTCCTCCCTTCTGGTCTGCCCCCTACCTCTGGTCTTTACTTGCAGGTATGGACATCATAGATACGGATACACTCTTGGCAGCTGACATAGCAACACCAATGAAAGATGCAATGACATTTCTCCTTTCGCTTCTCTGTCCGTGTGTTGTGGCCTCGGCCACAGCACAGCAGGTCACAGCCATCGATCCCATGGGAGGTGACATTACAAGTCCGATCCCTGGTTCCAAAGGACCCTGTCTCAGGATTGGGTTCACAGAAATTGGGAGAGTTCTCATAATAGACTAGGTCCCGTTCAGTAGGTGGTTTGAAGAGTGCATACTTGGCCCGAAGGGTCTCCACCCATCCCCTTGACTCTCGGTGTTTCTCTACCACCATCTCAGAGGCACTGTCATACTTGTCTTTGAGGAAGTCACCAATGGCCCGGAAGTCGGGCTGGGCCCACCAACAGGTCTTCACTTCGCAGCTCCCTGAGAGTCCATGGCACTTACATTTGAGGTGCATGTGGTCCAGGATAGTCTGTGGGAAGGAGAGGGACCAAAGCAGCCATAGTACATCTCAGGATTCCCATTCCCTCTTTTTAAGGCTATCTATAACTACGGACCATCCTTAGGCCAATTGGACAAGGTCTGTTCCTTAGGCCTCAAGCCAGGCAGAACTCCTCCCACAATAGTCATTCTAGGTTCTTTCTAACTCAATATCCATTCTCTTTTCTTTCCCTCAAAACTTCCTTGACTCTCTCCTTTTTTGTTTAGGAAGGTGAATAGATGGGGAAACTGAGGTCCAGAATTGAGAAAAGACTGACAGTAAGTAAAATGGCCAAGCTGGAGAGGAGACCCAGATTCCCTGTAAACTCCCCCTCTTATTCATAAACAACTAGATCAGTGTTCCTGAAAGACAAGGTCCCCTAGGCAGGAAATGGCCCAGCCAATGGGGAAGGGGCAATGCTGGGAGCTGTTTGGAAGGTGCTCTGGGGGTATAAATTGAAGGCCTCAAGACCTAGGAAGGAAGAACTAGAGTAGAGGAATAGGAAGGGAAGGGAGTGAGACCAGAAGGAAAGAGAATGAAGATTAGAGAGAACAAGGCTCAGCAGGGTCTTACTCACCGTCCTGCCGGCCTCATTGTTATGTTTGTTCATGGCAGAGCGGGCATCTGGACGGTTCTCCCTGGCATCAGCAAACTCCCTGGAGACTAGCACTCCAAAGTCAGCATCTTCGCTGCAGCCACCCCACTTCCAGCCATCCCCAGGAGGCCCCTTGTGATGGGAGTCACAGCCGCAGATTGTAGAGGTACCCTCAGCACAAGATCGGGTGACTGCGAAAGCCACACCAGCAGAGGCGATAGCGTGCACAAAAGCCGATTCCCTAGTAGCTGTAGGAGAACAAAGCATTCAGGCTGGATGGAATGAGGGAATGCTGACCTAGGCCCTGTTCCTAGACTCAGGTGGACCACACTTCTTAGTGTGTACAGTAGGTAGAGAAGGGATTGGGAGGAGGGTGAGAAGGCAGCATGAGCCCTTGAGTCTGCAAACTCATTCCAACATCAAAAACCCTTATAGCTGCCGGCAGCTAGGTTTTACAAGTTTTAGAGCACTGGGCCTGGAGTCAAGAAGATGAGTATGAATCTGGCCTCAGACACTTACTAGCTGTGTGACACTGGGCAAGTCACTTAAACTCTGTCTTTGTTTCCTCAACTGTAAAATTAAAAAAATAAATAAACAACTGTAAAATAGCACCTACCTACCAGGGTTGATGTTCTGAAGGTCAAATGAGATAATATTTGTGAAGCACTTAGCACAGTGCCTAGAATGTGGTAGGCACTTCTTAAATGCTTCCTACCTGCCTTCCCTAAGGCTAAAACACACTAAGAGACACAAGAGGAGAGTCTATAAAGGAAAAGAAAATTGTTAAGCAGAGTTGGGGGAATGATGCATGATTTCAAGGAGGAGCCAGCCTTTGGACCCTTCCTCACCCTGCTTGACCCAGACAATTCTGGGCTCTTGAGTTGCAGGGACCAAGTTCCTTCCTGGAACTGTTGGGAAGGCCTCCCCTTTGAAACAAGTCAAGTAGTGAAAGGAAGTGGCCTTGGTATTCCCTTTTCTCTCTACACTCTCTCACTTGGTGATCTCATCAGCTCCCGTGGGTCCAGTGATCACCTCTATGCAAATGATTCCCAGGTCTACATATCAAGCCCTACTCTCCCTCCTGAGCTCTAGTCCCATATCACCAAATGCCTACTTGACATCTTGAACTGGATGTTCTATAGGCATCTCAAACATGTCCAATCCCTTTCTGAACTTCTCTTTCTTTTGAGAGTACTACGATTCTCTTAGTCTCAACTTTGACAACATCCTTGCCCTTCATCCTCTCTTATCCCATGTATCCACTCAGCTGCCAAGGTCATTTCTTTTCTTCCATTTTTACCTTCACAACCTCTCACATCTCTCTATTCCTACCCTGATTCAGGTCCTTATCACCTCTCCCTCAGTCTATTGCAATAGCTTTCTAATTGGTCTACCTATCTCAAATTCCTACCAACTCTAAAGCCATCTTCTGCAGAGCTGCCAAAATAATTTTTCTAAAATGCAAGCATGGCCTCTCTCCAGCCTGCTTCAGTAAACGCCAGTGGCTTCCTATTACCTCTGCGACCAAAGTCCTTTGTTTCATATTCAAAGCTTTTCATAACTTGACCCCTTTCTACCTTTCCACTCCTCTTGCCTGTTTATTCATTTCCACAGACTCTGTTCCTCTGCCCTGTCTCCTAGACCTGATCTGGAATGCCCTCCATCCTCACTTGCTCTTTTTGGAATCCCTGGCTTCCTTGAAAACTCAGCTCAAACACCACCTTCTGTAAGAGATCTTTCCTGGTGCTCTCAGATGCTAGAGCCTTCTCCTCTAAAGTTACCTTCTAGATGTATCTTGGCTCTACCTAGTTATTTGTATGTGGTCTACCCCTTCCCCTTTAGAATGTACATTCTTGAGGGAAGGGACTGTTTTGTGTATCCCCAGCACTTACCAAAGTGCCTGTCGTACAGTAAGTGATTAATAAATGCTTGTTGACTGATTATTAAACAAAGCCCAGGGACAGGGTTGGGGAAACATTATCTCCCCAGTTCTTGGGATAGGGAAACAAGGGGATCTGTCTTTAATCCCTTCCTCCTTCCCTCTTCCCACCTCTTCCCCACAGACCCTCCACCAGTTCCCTCACATAGGGTAGGATAGTTGCCTACTATCAGGCCAAAGATAAGGGGTGACTTCTCTATGCCAATAGCAAATCAAGTCACTGCCCTCATCTCTTGCTCCTCCTACCCTTTTCCACGTTTCTTGTGGAGTTCACCATTCTGCAGAAAGGACTAGGCCTTGCCCAGACATGCAAGCTCATTGGCATGGGAGCCTCCAGCAACGCTCCCCCTCAACCAGAGGAGGAAGTAACCAGGAGAACAATTTATGCAGTAACAACAGCAATGAAATGATAAACAACTTAGAAAGACTTAAGATCTCTGATGAATGCAATGATCACCGCTAAGGATGATGAAGAGAGGAAATTTTTGATTTTCACAGGGTGCAGGACATGACATTTATTTTTTGGACGTGTGGAATATGAGAATTTCTTTTGCTGGAATATGAGGGTTACAAAGGACTTTGCATCTTTTTTCCACAGATAGGGTGGAAAGAAAATAGATTTTTCTTAATTAAATAAAAAATATTATTTTGAAGAGGATGAAAAGCTAGTATCCGTCTAACCTACACAGCCCACTGAGTACCTCTGTGTTTTCTCTATAGGTTCAGAAGCTGTTCAATAAAATTGGGAGGGGGCAACGAATGAAGTTCAGGTAGCTTTAATTAACAGTCTGGATGGTTTGGAGTAGGGATCCCCAACCATCCCTCCACTGCCTCATGGTACCCTGAAATCTAAGCGCTCTAGCTCTCCTCTGGTCTGTCCCGTGGGTTATGGAGGAGAAAGCAACTCAGGGTCTGTAAAGTGGGAAGAAAAGCAACCATTCTTCGGAAGCGGGGGAAGAACCCGCAAAACTTCACCAAAACCCTGAACCTCGCAACCCGCCCCCGCCCTCATCCCCCCAGCGGGTCCATGCTGGGCCCAGGGAGGAATTTCCCAGAGCCTTCCTGGGTTCCCAGCCCTGGGGAGGGGCAGGAAGGGGGCCGCGGGGCGGGAGGGATTAGAGAGCCTGAGAACTGCGGCTGACAGTGAGCCCCTGTGCCTAGCCCCCATCCGGCCGGCCGTTACCTGCTGGGCCACTCAATCTCCCTTTGTTCCCCCCGTGTCACACTGTATTATCCGCCTAATGTGGCAGGCTTCCTCTGGCCACTGCGCCCAGGGCGCCAGGGCCCGGCATTCCCTGCCGCCACCGCGTAGCAACGGGCAGCTCCCCCCAGCCGGGCCTCCCCCTCCCGGGCCGCGCGGGGCCGGGAAATCCCTATTGATGGGGCTCCCGCCCCCCCGCCGCTCCCCGGGCAGAATGGGGGAAAGGGCGTGTGAATGGCGCAGCGATGTGAAATGAGTGTGGCGGGGGCCGGGCCCGCAGCCCCAGCCTCACAGTGGGGGACAAGGCTTAGCCCTTTTTCAATCAATATAAGCTCATTTTGCTCTATCCTCCCCCAGCTCCTCCCTGGAAAGGGGGAGAGAAAAAAAAATCCGGAGTTTGTAACATGACCACCCGCCCTGCTTCCTACCCCGGCCCCTACTGCTCCCAGCTCCCTGGCTTGCCCCTGCCCCTACCCTTGCCCCCTGCGCCTCCCCAAACCTCCGGCCTCTCCCCTTTCCTGTCTTGGTTCCCTGGCACCTGACCCTTGCTCCAGGCCACCTCGGTCCCTTGGGCACCCGAATCTCTCAAGCACTCTTCTAAGTCTCAGCTCTACAGAGCTCTTCACTTCCATCTCATCTGTCTGCTTTTCGCCACCTGGTGAAGACCCTTAGTCACAGGCCACCAGCCCAACTCAGCCTCCGGGATCTCTCAGACATCCCCACCTGAACTCAGCCTCGTGGTTTGATGCCCTCTCCACTTCCAATGCATCCTTCACTCCCTTTTGATCGCCATCCAGCTAGCACTGAAGACCCTCATTACCAGCCTTGCCCCTGGCTGGACAGTGTTCTGGAGCCAGTCCTTCCTCCTGTCCTCTCTTCTACTGGGGGCTCTGTCCTTCTTTTCCTGACAGCCTTGGTCCTAGGAAGTGCTTCATGAGACAGGCCATGCTCCTGCCTTCTGGAATTTCAAAGCCCTGGCCAACGATCAGCCCAGTGTGTGTAGGTGGGATGGAGTTTGGGGTATCGGTAAGAAGGGAGTCCAGAGGTAGACATCATTACAACAAAGAACAATTTCTGTCTGCAGTATGTGTTGGGGGTAGGGATGTTGAGTTCTGAACCAAAGGAATTAGATAGACATCCCTGCCCTTTGAGAGTTTGCAATCTTAAGAATGACAAAACTAACAAGAAACATATGTAAGGAGCATAGGAAACAGAACATTTGAAAAATCGTGGATGGACATTGTAGTGTATGTGGCTCAACAGAAGGCCAAGCTGTTTAGTTAAAATTAATTGTTATCTGTGTACGTGTCTTAACACCACCATCACCACCACCTTCCCCCCCACAGCACACAGACATATACACATATTGGTGGGTATGCTCCTTGAGGACAGGGGCTGTCTTATCAATCTTTCTAGTTCAGGGCACCTATCCCAATCCACTGCACACAGTAGGTGCTTGATAATTGCTGTTAAATTGAATTGAATCAGACATGTTGCTATGAAAGCACTCTTTGAACCTGTTCAAACATACTTCTAAAATACTAATAATCTTTACTCTGGGCACATGAAGTAGAACCTTTTATGTAACCAATGAACTCTGGTAAAAGAAGTGTAATGAGAACCATAAATAATATCTTTTCTATTCTCTTCTGTAAACAATAGCCAGCATATGGTTTTTAGCTTTATTCATTATATGTATGTGTGTGTATGTGTGTGCATAATAGCTTTGGTCTTGTTACTTTTTTATTTTTAATTTTTAGGCAATCGGGGTTAAGTGACTTGCCCAGGGTCACACAGCTAGTAAGTGTCAAGTGTTTGGTCTGAGGCCGGATTTGAACTCAGGTTCTCCTGACTGCAGGGCCGGTGCTCTATCTACTGTGCCACCTAGCTGCCCCCCATCATAGCTTTGGTCTTTAGCTATCATGTATATTTTATGAATAGGCATGAGTATATAGATATATGTATATAAATATGTGTATATGAAATATGTCTAGATTTCTCTATGACAATATAAGTATATAGTCTTTAGCTATCATATATATTTTATGAATAGGCATGAGTGTGTGGATTTATGTGTATGTGTGCATATATGGATTTATGAAAAAATCTAGATGTCTATGATAATAGCAAGTATCTAGTCTTTAGCTACCATATATATTTTATGAATAGGCATGAGTGGGTGTGTATATAAAAATATGTATGAAATATATCTATATATCTCTATGACAATAGCCAGTATTTTGGCTTCAGCTGTCATATATATTTTACGAGTAGGCAAGAGTGTGTGTATAGGTGTGTGTTTATACAAAATATCTATATTTGTTTCTCTATGACAATAGCTAGTATTTAGGTATAATATGTATTTTATGAATAAGTATGTGTTATGTATGTATATATAAATATATATGAAATATCTTTATTTCTCTCTATGACAATAGCCAGTATTTGGTCTTTAGCTTTCATATATATTTATGTGAATACATATGTGTGTATGTATAAACACATACATGCACACACACGTAATGAATAAGGCTAAAGCTCAGTGCTGGCTACTGTCCATAAAGGACTTCATGCATTGATCAATTGAAATGCATTCAAAGGTAGGGAAGGGTTGCTTTGAAGCCATAGGACAGAGGAGGTCCAGGGAGCTTTAAATCCCATCTGACTCTCATAGGTCTGTCTCCTTCCCTACCTGAAAACAGAGAATCTATTGCTCCCTATGACCATCAAGTAGAGAAGGGTAAGGCCTCACCAGCTGCCAACTTCTACTTTGCCACTAATACACTGAAGGAAGAAACAACTTAGTCCAGTGCTACATAAGAAGCAAAAATGGGGAAAGGAATAATAATAAAAGCTGCCTTTAATAGAAAGTGCTCACAAGTGCTTTATATACAGAATCTCATTTGATTCTCACAACAATCTTGTTAAAAGGTACCAGGTGGAGTAGTGGTTAGAGTTTTGGGCTTGGAATTGGGAAGATCTGATTTAAACACCTATGCCAGATGCTTACTACTTAACCTCTCCCAGCCTCAGTTTCCTCATTTGTAAAAAAAAAAAAAGTCAGTAGACTTGGTTTCAAATCCTAGCTCTGACACGTACTAATTGGACCAAATCTAGGTAAATGACATAGTAGCTGATTCTCATTTTCTCCTTCTGTAAAATGGTGATAATCATTACTAATGATGGTGAGGAAAGTGCCTTGCATGCCTTAAAGTGTTTAAAAATGATCCATTATTATTACTGGGTTAAGAGAACAGAGCAGAGGGCAGCAGAAAGGGAGAAAGTATTAGGGGAAGAAAATTTAGTGTTGGAGGAAAAGGGAGAGGGAAAGCTTGGAAAGTAGACGGATAGGTTTAATCCAAAGGAGCTGTGATTTAGTTCCTTAGAATTCCACTGCTTTTTAAAAATTACCCCAATCATGATTCCTGAACTCTAAAGTTCTCATGCACCCATTTGAAATCATTTCATACGTTCTTCCCCTGACGTTACTTCACCACCTTTGATCATGAGCTCTTGGAGTGCAGGGGACTATCTTTTGTCTTTCTTTGTATCCCCACCCAGTGCTTAGCCCAGTGCTTGGCACATAATGGGCTTAATAAATGCTTATTGACTGACTGACTGGTGGGCAATATCTGCCTTATTATTCATTTGAAGAACAGCCAGAGACCTCCTTGAATCCTGAATCCAGTCCTGAAGACCCCAATGAACTGATGCCCAATTTGCAACAAACCATTGGAAAATGTCACACTAATTAACAATCACACCAAGCCTCTCCCCATCCTTCCACATTTCACTGCCAGTACCAGCTGCTGGGGGGACTCTGTACCCATCCATTAATGCTGAGCTCTCTAGGAATGGCCTAGCAAGTGCCTGAGCTCTGACTAGCCTCCTGAAGTGAAAATGACTTAGAAGTAACAGATGCTGATGGCAAGGACCAGCTTTGTATTCTCATCCACCTATACCCTCAGCTTGCCTAAGACACAGTACCTTCACAAATCAGCAAAAATGTTCATTTTCCCATGCCTAGTGATTGAGTTTGCCTTTCCTGAAGTCTCATGTCCCCTCTTCCATTTTCCTCAGCCACCCTTCAACATGGGGAGAAAGCCAAAGGGCTGTGAAAGAGAAAAGTAGCAGAATTCACAGTCTTTAGGGAGTCAGGAAGGCTATCATCATATCTAGACACCTTGAGATACCTGGGTTCAAAATACCAGGGCTGCCAATCTTCCAGGGAGGTTAAGGAATGGATAAGGTGATCTATAGTGGCCACCTGACCCACCTACACACCCTGGCCTTCTCCCTAGCCAGGCAGTACCTTGTGGGCTCACCTTTGTCAAGCACAGGCCCAAAGATGGCCAGGCTGTCATCAATGGTGGTACAGTTCCAACGTCGGCCCCGGAACTGATGCTGGCATTCCTGGATACCCAGCTTCACTCCCTCTGCCACACTGGGCATGATCTCAATGTAGTTGCGGCAGAAGCGAAGCTGCTTGGGAACCAGGCCAGGAATGGAGCCACAGAGCAGAGGCTGGGACCCCAATGATGTATACTGCTGCCCCAGGGCCAGGGACCTGGAATGAAGAGTGGAGAGTTACAGAGGCACGGTCACCACCCCCACCACCAAGTACTTACCTGGTGTCTGCCATGCTTTGGGCACCAGACAGAAAGGTGTCAGGTACATTGCAAAGAAGGAGCAGTGAACTGAGAGTCAAGGCACCTGAGCTTTCATCTTGGCTCTTCTCTGGGAACCCATGGTACCCTTGCTGAGTCTCTGCCACTACCCAGGCCTTTCACTTTTTTTCCCTTTATAACATGAGTGGATTTAACTAGATCAAGGGTTCTTAACCTAGAGTGCTTGAATTTGGTTTTTAAAACTAATTTGATAACTGTATTTCTTTTTAAATATATTTTATTTTCTCCCTAAACAGTTTTTAACACTTTTTTCCCCACATTTTGAGTTCCAAATTCTATCCCTTTCTCCCTCCCTCCTCTTGCCTCCCCCTGAGATGCTAAGCAATCAGATATAGATTTTACATGTGCAATCATTTGAAATATTTCCATACATTTTTTCTACCCTCCAGCTCTCCAGTCAGAGAGAAGAGAAAGTTGAATCAGGTGGTGTCATTCAAGGCTTGAGTTAGCAGCATGGTGATAAGATTGGAGGTGATGAGCTTAACCCACCAGACACATCTTGTTCCATGGCATTGAAAAAACCAGGCAGGTCAGCAAAGTGGGGTTTGAATCCTGCCTTAGACATGTATTAACAGTGTGATCCTGGACAAGTCATTTGACCTCTATCTAGCTGCCTTAGTTTCCTCATCTGTAAAATGGGGATAACAATAGCACTTACTTCACAGGCTGGTTGTAAGGATCAAATGAGATAACCCATGCAAAACACTTTGCACACCTGAAAGCACTCGGTGAATGCTAGCTTAGTTTCCTCATCACTCCCTCTGCCACACTGGGCATGAATTAAAAAAATGAAAAAAAGTAAGCGAAATATATTGGCTTTCTTTGTAATCACGTGAATTTTAATTTATGCATTTAAAAACCTTATTTGGAGGAGGGATCCATAGGCTTCATCAGAGGGACAAAAGGGGGCCATGACCCAAAAAGGTTCAGAACCCCTGGACTCAATGATCTCTAAGGTCTCTTCTAGCCCTTACGTTCTAGGGCTTCTGTGACTGAGACCATAGGATCATGGATTTAGAGCTGGAAGGGACCTAAGAAGCCATCTAGATCAACCATTTTACAGATAAGAAAACTGAGGCACAGAGAAGCTAAATGACTTGCCCAGGGTAACACAGTTGGAAAGTGTCTAATGAAGAGATTTTGATCCAGGTCTTCTGGACTACAAATCTAGCACTCTTATCCCCTACTTCATGATGTCTCAGAAGGTCCCTTTACTTCTCCTTGGAGAAAGAATCCACCCAGACCTATGGGAAGCACACAGAAATCAGTAGTTTGTTCTTACTGGGCAGAACAAAAGGGCCTCAGTCAAAAGTTCAACCAAAAAGATTTAGGTGATCTAGAAGAAATCTTTCTATCAAAGATCCAGGATTCATAGGAGTTAGAGCCAGAAGCAACCTTGGAGACCATCAGTTTTACCGAGGAAGAGACTGAGGCCCAGAGGGGTGAAGAGAGTTGCCCAGATGATGGAATATGTTGCCAGAGGATATTACAGGGAAGGTTTTAAGAAAAAACAAGTTGACGGCTGTTTTTCTATACTAGTTTAGCTATTACAGAGTCTGAGGATGAACAGATTTGGAGCCAGGCCCAGGCTCTGCCCCTTATTATCCATGTGGCCTTAGGTAAGTCCCTTTCATTATCTGATCTACTGTGAGGTAAAAAGGTCAGACTAGGAACTCTCCTCTAGGCTTGACATTCTATAGTGCTATGTGGCTTTAAGGATCCACTAAGAATCTATACATTCTTTGAAGGTCTTAATGACCTTAATCAAGATTCAGTTCTAAACCACACCCAGAAAGACGGCAAAGGCAGCCTGGAGGATGATTAGCTAAAATCCTCAACCCATGACTCTGCCCATAGGAGAGCTTCTCATATCAATCAATAGCCAAGCATGTATTATTATTATTATATTACTCTATATTATATTACCTATTCTACTAATAATATGTTATATAATATTTGTTATATTATATAATTATGATATATGATATAAATATAATGTATATTATAAATATAGAAATATTTATATAGCACATCAATATTATATATTTATATGTTATATTGTATTACATATTACATATTGTATTACATATTATTATGCATAAATCTATTATTATGGTTATTATATTATTATTAGCTAGCATTCACAGAGTGCTTTCAGGTGTGCAAAGTGTTTTGCATGGGTTATCTCATTTGATCCTTACAACCAGCCTGTGAAGTAAGTGCTATTGTTATCCCCATTTTACAGATGAGGAAACTAAGGCAGCTAGATAGAGGTCAAATGACTTGTCCAGGATCACACTGTTAATACATATCTAAGGCAGGATTCAAACCCCACTTTGCTGACCTGCCTGGTTTTTTCAATGCCATGGAACAAGATGTGTCTGGTGGGTTAAGCTCATCACCTCCAATCTTATCACCATGCTGCTAACTCAAGCCTTGAATGACACCACCTGATTCAACCTTCTCTCCTCTCTGACTGGAGAGCTGGAGGGTAGAGTTCCAAACTCTTCCCAATACTTTCCTTTATAGAAAGTAAAAACTGGACTTTTGGACTCACTCCACTCCGCATTTGCTGCCCTGCCTGGTTTTTTTCAACTCTACAGTACAAGATGGTCCTGAACTGGGTACTCCCCTGGTCATCCCTCCCCCTACTGCTTTTCTGTGTGTTATTTCCCTTATTAGACTGTAAACTCCTTGAGGGCAGGGACTAATTGTATCTGTTATTAATTGTAATTATTATTAATTGTATCCCCAATACTTAGCACAGTGCCTGGCATATAGTAGGTGCTTAATAAATGTTTATTGGATTGAAGTCGATTGAGCAAGTCTTCCTGACTCAGTTGAAGAAAAAAAAGGCAGAATGAAACAATCCCTGCTCTCAAAATGCTTATATTCTATTGGAGGAAACAGTAAGTATTTACCATAGGATCATATTGTTAAAGATGGAAGGTGCCTTAGAAGCCATTGAATCTACTCCCCTTCACTTTACAGATAAGAAAAGTAAAACTCGAAAAGTTTAGTGACTTCCCGCAGATCACACAGCTAAGTGTCTATGACTGGATTTGAACTGAAGTCTTCCTGTTTGCCTCAATTTCCTCATCTGTAAAATGAGCCAGAGAAAGAAATGGCAAAACTGCTTCAGCATCTTTGCCAAGAAAACCCCAAACAGGGTCACAAAGAGTCAGACACAACTGAAAAATGACAACAATTTCCTGACTTCAAGGCTAGTGCTCTTCCTATCCATTGTGCCTTGACATACATATATAGGTATATGCAGAACTGTGGAGCTGGAGAAGACTTTTGAATGCCCCTTGGACAGCAAGGAGATCAAATCAATCAGGACTTAAAGAAATTAATTCAGACTATTTACTGGAAGGTCAAATACTGAAGTTGAAGCTTAAATACCTTGGCCACACAATGAGAAGACAGGCCTCATTAGAAAAGACTCTGATGTTGGGAAAGATTGAAAGCAAAAGGAGAAGGGGATGACAGAGAATGTGACGGACAAAAAATGTCATGGAAACAGTGAACGTGAGCTTGGATAGATTCCAAGAGACAGTAGAGGATAGAAGGGCCTGGTGCACGATGGTCCATGGGGTCATAAAGAGTCGGACAGGATTGAACAATGAACAATAACAGAATGTATGTAGAATAAAGATAGGGTAAATATAAGGTAATTAAAAGGAAAGGAATTTGAGAAGGGAGACACTAACACTTTGGGGGAAATCAGGGAAGACTTCATATAGAAGGAGGTGCTCTAACTGCATCTAGAAGGAAGTCAGGGATTCTATGAGGCAGAAATGAAAAGGAAGTACCTCCCAGGCATCAGGATAGGAAATATGGAGTATAGAGTGTGAGAAACAGAATGAGGTCCAGTTTTTCTGGGCTGTAAAGTGTAGGAAAGGGAGTAATATACAATGTTGCCAAGTTGTGAAGGGTTTTAAAAGACAGAGTAGTTTATATTTTATCCTGAAGGCAATAGGGAGCCACTGGAGTTTATAGAGTAGAAGAATGACATTATCAGATCATAGTGACTCTAAGCCAGTCCAGCCAGAAAAACCAGGTGGGGTAAATGAAATATCCAGGCCCTATCATTTAGGGCTCTTCTCACTCTGGTTCCAATCTACCTTTCCAGACTCATCTACTATTTTCCCGTATATACATTATGGGAGGTAATATCAGATGTGGGACTTGTACAAGTCTTTCAGTGAAAAGGCAGGTGGAAATGGTGGCTAGGATAAAGGGCTGTAAAGGTCCTAGGGAGCTTTAAGCATCAACCTTTTTTCAGTGAATATGAGCTTTATAAAGAGGTAGCTGCTTGAGTCACAAAGGCAAGTATCCAGAACTGACCACAGCAGGAACAAAAAGAGATTTTGCATTGTTGATGAGAAATGAAGTAGATGTACCCCCAAGAGGGTGAAAGAGAATTTTCAAACATCGAGTCATTGCACCTGTTATGAGTTTAGACTATTTGTCCCTATGTCCCATGTTACAGCTGGAAGTCAGGATGTTCGTGATGAGATATTGCCTCTTATGGTTCTCAAACACAGACTTTGCCTAGGGAGGCGGGAAAATTGAAACCAATCCAAATAGAGTTCTTTCTGCCTTAGGAAGGTTTATAACTGGGACACAAGGGAAATGGTTGTGCTCTATATTTGTGATGTGTATTTTCCTTTGCTTTTATTATACTTTTATCAAATACAATTAAATTGCTTACTCTAGTTCTTGTTACATTATATATTACTACTATTACAATATTATATATTAAAGTACTCTAGTTCTTGTTACATAATTACTACTATGACAATATTATATAGTAAAATACTCTAATTCTTGGTGTATTATATATTACTACTATTCTAATATTATATATTAAAAT